TTCAAGTTTAATTAAAATATTCAATAACTGGATACTGGTATGCAATTCAGCAAACTTCAGAGATTCGATAAATCATTGGCGTAATCTTTAAATGTTAAAATACTCTTCAGTAGAAAATACTAATTTAAAAGCCTTTGTCTCACTCTCGTATTTGTTAAATCTGACTAAACTCTTAAATCAAAATGCTTTGCTCTCGCTGTCTCATTTGAATTTAGAAATGATTTTTGAAAATCAATAGATTCTAATTAACCCTAAAGTGCTCTCCATGTGTTTAGAATTAATGTCTAGTTTTTACTACCCGATTAAAAATCTCAAACTTCTATTTTATTGATTATAACCTTTTTGTGTCTTTTACTCTCGTAACAAAATTGTTTCAATTAAAACTAAGAACTAAAGCAGAAAAATAATTTGTGAAATATTTTCGCCAACGGATTTATAAACCTCGTTCGTGTGACTACTTTCACATACCGGTATCAAAGGAGTTACTCGGTCATGGTTTTAAATGTAAACATACATTAACAGTAATTGAAAAAATTAAATATACCCCTAAGCATGATTTCTAAGAACATAACTAATCAGAATTAAATTAAAATCTGGAATTAAATTGAATGAAAAATACTGAATGATAAACTGCAACTTCAAGTAATATCCTCCACAAATGCCGGCATGATTAGACATTCTGAAATACAATTGAAGAACAAAGAAATAATATAAGACTAAAGTTGTGATAGTCTCCCGATGTGGAAGGCTATCATTTTTAATGGTGAGTTTTTATGCTTAAAATCTAACAACAATAATGCTCTGAACGAAAGAAAAATATATCCCTCCTCAACTCTGAAGGACTGCTGCTTTTATAGACTCTCTTCTAAATTCTCCTAACTTCCAGAGAGAAGAATCCAGAACTAGTGGTAACATGGAGAATATATCGAGAGACGTTGCTTGTGGAGACGTTTCAAGAGACCGGGTTTCGTGAGTGTTGACGTGGAGAAGAACCACATAACAGAATACGTGACTGTGTGAAAATAAGGTGTGGCGAGGGCCACACAAAACGTGGCGAGGGCCGCAGCTCCCAGCTGCATGGCGAGGGACACACCACCCGTGGCGAGGGCCGCAGGTTTGGAAAGTGGTTCATGCGCCTTTTCTCTTCAATATTTCTTCAATTCTTCTCAGTCTTGACCATTTCCCGCTCTTTTATTTATGGAAGTCATTTGTTAGCATGTACCTGAAATGCAATAAAAATATCGGTATAATACGACATAAATAAATAAAAACGGTAACATAGTTCATACGAGTCGAGTCGAATATATAATGTAATTTTGCGCTATCATTTTTGTGTGTGTGTGTGTTTTAGCATTGTACTTTTACGAAAAAGTTCATTTGTTTTACATATGTTAACTCACTTATTAAATTAGGAGATTAATTCTTTTCTACAAGCTTTGTCAGATAATCTTCTTTATGTTGACACTGCTTGAGATCTCTTGATATGAGACTTTAGATTATTTCGATTTAATTTGACCTCATTGGATAGTTAAGTTCATCAAACCATACTACTTAGTTTTGCATCTTTAACAGCTTAATCATTCATGTTTGACTTATCATATTTTTCATTAGTGTTATCATCGTAGTAGATGTCATCATCAAAAGCAAATATTTTGTTCGGAGTGTATTACTTGTTCGGAGTGTATTACTTGAAAACAAAATTCCATAAACAACACAAATTTGATGTCCACGATACATTTTCACCAGTGGTGAAACCTACTTAAATTTGAATCCTACTCACTCTAGTAATCACCTGCAAATGGGAGGTCCAACAAATACACATTAACAATTATTTTCTCAATGTTGATCTTCAAGAGGTGGTGTACATGCAACAGACATTGGGGTTCTTTGACACAGATGCTACCTTGGTATGTCAACTGAAGATAGCCATTTATGGTTTAAAACAAGCATCTTGTGCTTGGTATGAGAAGCTTCATCAAGCCTTGCTTCAATTTGGCTTTGTCTCAAATCAATGTGATCATTCTCTCTTCATCTATAATCATCACAATGTCAAAATGTATGCACTCGTTTATGTTGATGATATACTTCTTATAGTGTCATCATCTTCTTTACTTCATACACTCATCAAGAGGCTGCATGATATATTTTCTCTTAAGAAGCTAGGAATCCCTCAATATTTTATGGGCGTTGAAGTCCATTACCAAACCAATTGATCCATTATTCTCACACAAACAACATATGTTAAGGATTTGCTAGATAAAGTTAACATGATTGAAGCAAATGGTGTGACTACTCCAATGTTTAGCACTTGTAAACTGAGCAGACATGGAGATGACAAGCTATCAGATTCTTTCATGTATAGATCCACAGTTGGTGCATTACAATATATAACATTGACTCAATCAGACATTGTGTTTTGTGTCAATAAAGTATGCCAATACATGTCTGATCCTCTTGAATCCCATTTAAGCATGGTGAAATGTATGCTCATATAGTAAAGTGGCACGATTACTCATGGACTTCTCCTAGCTCCAGTAGCATTTATGCACAAGTTCTCATTACAGGCTTACAGTGACTACTCATGGACTTCTCCTAGCTCCAATAGCATTTATGCATAAGTTCTCATTACAGGCTTACAGTGACTCTGATTGGATGAGTGATCCTAATGACAGGCGCTCAACTTCAGGGTCATGTATTTATCTTGCGCCAAATCTGGTCGCGTGGAGTTCTAAGAAACAAACCCTTGTAACACATTCTAGCACTGAAGCATAGTACAGGGTGTTAGTGCATACAACATCAAAGGTTTTATGGATTGAATCATTGCTGAAAGAAATTTCTATTACTTATCTTCCACCAACACTTTTTTTGTGGCAACCTTGGCATTGTCATGCTATCACATAATCCAGTTTTGCATGCACACACGAAATATATGGAGTTGGATATTCACTTCGTACGTGAACGAGTTATGGCGCAAAAGCTCCAAATTCAACATCGGCCCATGCACAAATTGCCGACATCCTTAGCAAACTACTTTCTACTAGTCTCTTTCTTAGTTTTAGAGACGAACTCAAGATAGCTTTCTTTTGAACCACCGTGAGTTTGAGGGACTTAGAGTTTGACTTAGCTTCACCTTATAAAACCGGTTGTAAAGGTGAGGAGCGTCACTCTATATAAACTCTTTCAATGCTCTATCTCCAACCAATGTGGGACTTTAGGATCTTCCTAACAACCAATGTGGGACTTTAGGATCTTCCTAACATCCCCCCTCACGCCCAGCACTCTTTTTCTTTTTGGGCTTGGTGCGTGGATATTAATGGTGGACGCCCATGGTCTGATCGATAGGCTCTGATACCAACTTAGAGTTTGACTTAGCTTCACCTTATAAAATCGGTTGTAAAGGTGAGGAGCGTCACTCTATATAAACTCTTTCAATGCTCTATCTCCAACCAATGTGAGACTTTAGGATCTTCCTAAGGTGAGGAGCGTCACTCTATATAAACTCTTTCAATGCTCTATCTCCAACCAATGTGGGACTTTAGGATCTTCCTAACATCCCCCTCACGCATTAATGGTGGACATCCATGGTCTGATCGATAGGCTCTGGTGTGAGGAGTGTCACGCATTAATGGTGGACGCCCATGGTCTGATCGATAGGCTCTGGTGTGAGGAGTGTCACTCTATATAAACTCTTTCAATGCTCTATGCCCAACACTCTTTTTCTTTTTGGGCTTGGTGCGTGGATATTAATGGTGGACGCCCATGGTCTGATCGATAGGCTCTGATACCAACTTAGAGTTTGACTTAGCTTCACCTTATAAAACCGGTTGTAAAGGTGAGGAGCGTCACTCTATATAAACTCTTTCAATGCTCTATCTCCAACCAATGTGGGACTTTATGATCTTCCTAACAGAGGGACAATATTAAAGAGTAAAAAATTCCTTAGAGAAGTTAGAAGGTAGTTATGGATGTTTCAATAGCGTAAGTAACTCTAATACACTTTATAATAATTGTATATATGTGAATGCATAGAACTTCACTTCACTTGAGTAATGTGAAAATACCATACAAAGAGCAAATAGAGCTTGCTCACTTATCATCTCTTCACGATGAATGCAAACCTTCATAGAATCATGCATTCATACTCATCAAACATTTAATACAAACATTTAATACATAGACGAAGTAGTAGTAAGGATTAGAAACTCAGCTGAGATTTAAAATTCAAACATGTGTTAAGGTAGGATTGTATGAGTTGTGTATTTTTTTTTTAAAAAACTTTAATGAACTATTTATAGAAAATGTTATGCAATCAAATTTAAATAGTGATATGCATTAATTCGGCAAAATTGCTTTGCAGTCCCTTAACTTAATTCTAGATAACCGTTTAGGCATTTATCATTTTTTTTCTTCAGATTTTCTCTATTTTAAAATGTTAACCATGTTATCATTTCTTTTTTACAGAATCTTCCAAAAAGTTCATATCATCTTCTTCATTCAGCCTCATCTATAAGAGGCCATTGTCTATTTCATTCATCTTCGTCAACTACTTAATGTATTTGAATAATTTATTGGATCTATAGTTACTATTTTGAATTTGCAAATACTTTACTACTTACTAAAGAAAGTGTAGTTGTTTTTATCGAAACAAAAAAAAGGTGTAGTTGTTGATCAAATCTTGTGATCCTTTGGTCAGAGCCGACTGCAATTTGGTTAGGGCTTACTTACAAGAGTTTAGACCTTAAAATTTTGGAAAAAAATTTCAATTTAATTATAAATATATAAAATGAAATGTAGAAAATAAATTATGTTGCCTTCCAGAAAATCATACACGGCTAAACAACAATAGACAAACACATATGCACACTTTGTGGCAGGTGTCTCGTACTGGGACATCTTGGAAAAACAAACTGGCCTGTTACATAGTATATAGCTATTTAGCCACACACTAAACAGACAAGTAGTGGAGTCCATCTTCAAGAGGCAGCACCAGAAGAGAAATTATGGATACGGTGCAGAGAGAAAGAGAATCAGCATGCCATTTCATAGAACAAGTTATGAAAGCTTTCTCCAAATGCCTAGGACTTGATCCATCATCAGTTGAAAATATCCAATACGGTGTGGTTGATAATAATGGTGAAGTAACATCATCCATGACATCACGAGCCTTTAAAAGGCCTCCAAAACCTCCTTTAAGCGCGGGAAGGGGAGCTCAAATCAATCTTTCCTCCTCTTAAAAGTTATACAACAACAAAATGGTGTTTGACCTTATCTAATGTTTTGTTTGGTAGTTAGATTGTCTTTTTAAGTAGCTTCCATGTATTTGTACTGCCTTACATACCTATCTTATATAAATTGTCAGCAAGATGGTTTTATTATCGGTCATTCAGTGACATATTTGTCGCTACGACTCTGATATCTCGTCGAATTCGTTATCTTTTCATAGACAGTTGTAATAGATCATTGGAACAATGTGAAAAAGAATCTAATCTATTGTTTTCGACATCAATGACATTGAGCTAAGGGATCCACTATGCATTTAATAACGGAAACATTGCATTCCAAAACATTCAAGTTAGTGCTCCACACTCCGCATTCTACGAACATTCAAGTTAGTGCTCCACACTCCGCATTCTACAAGTACAGACGCAATCACCATCCAGAAACAATTATTTTTTCTGGAGTTTTTAAAAGGAAACACAACTTGTATCTGGTTTTATCTAAGGAATAAACAGGTTAAGTGTATTCCACGAAAGTTTGAAACATCAAATCCTAGTATTCAAGTTTATGTAGAGTATGAAATGCACTCAATCTGTTCTTCCTATTAGGTTTCTATACACATTATTTATTACACTACACCCTATAGCCTCATCTAAAGGGCAACATCTCTATTCCATGAAGAAAAGAAAAAAACAGAAGGTCATATAACAGTAGAGAAGAGAACCTTGGTGCTGCTCAGAGCTCGCATTGAAGAAATCTAGCATCTTCTCTGGCCTCTACCTTTTTCCACGTCTAGCGAGGAAGTTGAGAGCAAAACTTGAAAATTTGATAAGGGAGAAAAACATCTTCAACATAGAACGACCCTTGATAATACTCTCTCTCATACCTCTAGCGGCTCTTCCCACCGCTAGTGCACTCGAATCAGGCTCAGTATTGGAGCTGTATTCCATTCCCAGCAAAGAAGCTATATATAACCAAATGAAGAACATTGCTTAAAAGGCATAGTTTTAAATTACCACCAATTGCAGCCACAATATAACAGTTTCATAACTCATTTACAAACTCAAATTATAGAAATCTAACAACTAGTTAAGACTCAAACTTTCCAGTAAAGTAAAGTGTGTGTGATGTCCGATACATGTCGATATCAACATCAACACATATCAATGTTGTCTAGTTATTATGTTGATTCTCTGTATCATAGTAACATGTTCTTAATTTAGTAAGTAACCTGAAGAAGAAGGCATAGTGGTTAAACTGCGAAGCCCCTGCTCCACCGAGCGAACGGCGTGAGTGGAGCTTCTAACACCTTGGGTAACCTCTTGCCTGCATCACAGAAACAAAAACTAAACAATGGTTTGTCGTTGTAATTTTGATTTGAATGCCATTAACCTAAGAATAATACAGATAGTAGAATTTAAAAAATGGCAATTACCCAAGATCACTGAGTTCAGAGGTTAAGTCACTGATTTCCATGGTGGATAATCTAACTGCAGACATTGTATCAGGAAGTTCCTCTCTTGCTGTATCCATAACCTTCTCAAGTGATTCCGCTGCCTTCTTGAAAGCCTTTATTATTTAATAACATTCTGATTATATCAGATTTTAAATTAAGCTATTTCAGAAACTATTGTATATACTACCAAACAAGGCTTTATAAAAACACAAACCAGAAGCGTGGGAACTGCAGAACGAAAAAGCCACGTCGTAAATATCGCTGTCTGAAAAAAAAAACAAAAATCAATTGAGGAATCGAGAAATTGAAAAACGGATTTGGATATAGAGAGAGATAGGGTAAGGTACCGCGACGGCGAGGGCTTGGAGGAGAGTGAGGTTCGAGTGAGAGGGATTGAGCGATGAAGATGAAGATCCAACGGTGGAGATGTAATGTGGCGGTTGTTGAGGTGAGTGGGTGGTGAAAGAAGAGATGAGTTGGGGGAGGGCGATGGGTTTTGCGAAGGAGAGGTTACGTTGTTGTGAGAGGGTGTTGTTGATGGGGAAAGGAATGGGTGGGAGGTTTGAAGATTGAAAGCGCAGAGAGTTGAGCATCTCTGATGCTGACATAGTGACCAACAGTTTTTCGCCTCGCACTCTCCGACTACATAGTTGCAAAACACACCATCCCTCTAATATCCTATTGCTAAGTCTACCTTATAACAACATTAACTATTAAGGAAAACACCAAATTAACTTTTTGTTTTTGCCCTCCACTTCATTAATTTGGAGGTATTTTCAACTAAATTGTATTATTGATTCTAACTTAAACATACTTAGTTTCATTTGTGTACAAATTGCACATATTTTGTTAGAATAGTTCAAGTAAAACTAAATGATTACGTGAAAAAGTATATTTTTTTAATTGAATATCACTTTTTTAATGAATAGTGTCAAGATTCTCCATTATTTCACTTTTCGATTACCAAAACCGTCATTCCAAACATACACGACCTGACCTCTCTTCTTTCTCCTTCTTCTTTATCCTTCTTCCTTGCAAATCGATATTTTTGTCACCTTCATCATCCTTTCATCTAATTTTCTCGCGAATTCTTTAAAATTGATTTAACCATAATCAAATGGGTGCGAGTCGAAAGCTTCAAGGAGAGATAGATCGTGTTCTCAAGAAGGTTCAGGAAGGTGTTGGAGTATTCGATAGTATCTGGAACAAGGTCTTTATGATTTTCCACAACTCTTTTCATTTTTCATTGTTTCGATTACTCTAATTTCTACTAATTTTGAACTAAATAGCGTTTTTACGCTATTAATCGCTTTTTATTTGGTGTGATAGGTTTACAACCCAAACAATGCAAGTGCTTTGCCAGTATGGTAGGTTTCAAGTTCCAACCAGTCTTTTGTTGTTCTATGATATTCATTGTTATAGTGTTGTGTTATGAATCATTGTTATAAGTTAAATTTATCTGACTATCATAAAAGCAAGAGTGCAATATGATGGAACAAAATCTTGTTGGTGAGAAGGTGTTCTCTTTTTGGCTCAAACGGAATCCTAATGCGAAAAAGGGTGGTGAGTTAATTTTTGGTGTCGTTGACCCTAAAACTTTTTCTTTTTCAGATTGAAATGGGAGATTTTTTCAATGGAGGCTCATCAACAGGTGAAGTATTTTACATTTATACACCTTAAACATATATCCTTTTCGCTATACTTGCCTAAAGGCTTATTTTTTAGGTTCTGTTGCCGGAGGATATGCGGATGCGTGTCAATAACCACCCGAAATTGAGGCAGATGATGGAAGTGGTTATGAATTTTTGAGGTGATTTTTAATCGATTGTAACTATTTTTTAGGTTGTATATACCAATTGGACTTGAATCACTATTGCTTAAACTTCTTATAATCATGTTATGTTCATGTTGTCTTGCAAAAATTAGTTGATCCAGTTTTTGTATTGATTACATGTGGTTTCATGACTATGCGGGAGTTTCCGCCAGTGTTAGTTTGACAGCGTTGGTATAACAACGTTCAATTTTGGTTTGAACTTCACCAAAATTTTCTAGTTTTGCAGTGGCGAGTCCGGTTTAATCAACTGCAAATTATTCATGGAGGCAGGTGATATCGTTCGGTATCTAAATGTCAAGTTTGTGTTTTGAATATAGGTTTTAAACCTCATGGTAGCATTTAGATTGAAAAGTTGTAAGTTCACCAAAATTAACTATCACTACAACAAATAATGCATTTCATGATGAAGCTTTCACGTCAATCAGAAAAACAACGAGGTATTAAGCCTAGGCGCGACATGTATTATATTTTTTAATGGAAAAAGTATCAACCTACCTCAGTTTCTAATAAATCTGACGGTTAAAATTATTTTGGACGTGCTTCGAATCCTAACTTTTGTAGTTTATGTTTTATTTTAATTATAATTGTAAGTTAAATTAATTAACCCTTTGATGTTTCGATATAACCGAGGGTTCTACTAATCATATTACATTGTAAAAAGCAAACAAATTTTACCATAATCCTTACTTATTTGTAGTCGTCCCAAACTCGAAATTGCATCATTCGTTGGGATGCATTGCAAGACATAAAAAACTTCAATGTTCTTATAGAACAAAATGTTTTTCCCTTACAATCTATCTCACATAATGGTGTTGATGTTGTTGGTGGTGTTGATGTTGTTTTTGGTGTTGTTGTTGTATTTTCGCTCATTTGAAAGATTGCAACTGCAAAAAAAACTCATTCTCCCTTCATGGAGACAGGCAATGAAGAAAGTTAAGCTTCCTTCTATATTCAAAAGTTTAACTAATCGGGTGATGGATATCAGCGAAGATATTATTCAAAAGAGCAGAGATTTATTTTTTTGCAAGTTCAAAAAATAACATAACACTTGGTTTTTTAAAAGACCGGGGTGATAGATAAATTCAAAATATAATATATCTCAGTTCTTAATGCAAATCGGAGGGGTAAAGTAATCAGCTTTTACTATAAATACCTTAGTTAATCAGATTTTACCCTAATTCTAACTTTTATATAGCTGTACCAGATACATGAAATATTTACTATTGTCCATTGCCATGAAAATTTTTGATCTAGAAACGCTTAAGAATAGATCTCTGAGATGGATTGCAAGTGCATAAATTAAAATAACTTATCCGAAGATGGGTAAGTTATAGAGTGTTATTTGGATATGTGTAATACGATGGGAGAATTGACTTGGGTGTTTGTGTTTTATCGCAATTGTTGTGGATAGCAAGAGTCGTCACCGACTTTTCTTTTATCCAATAAAGGAAAGGGTGAAAAGAATAGGAAATACCTTTTGAGAATTTTTCTTGAGTTCGGGGGGTAGGTTATGAAAAGGGAAGGTATTAGCACCCTTTCATCTGTAGTTATCTACGAGCTCTTAGTTGCTAGCTCACTTTGAAATGCTTTGTAAAATGTGTTTGTGATTTATTTTTGAAAGTATTTTTGAAAAGTGCATTTGTTTAGGCGAACTTTGTAATGATTCTCGTCTCTATAAGAATGTATACAAAGTGTTGAATTTTGAAAATATTTCATGAAAGTGTTGGTGTGTTGAAAGATGTTTTATTTTGAAATGTTTGTGAGCAACCAACTACGAGCGTTCTACCTACTCAAAAGGAAGTATTTGTTATTTTCCTCCTCCTTTAGATAATGTTATCTTACCATTTAGTTAGTAATAAACCTTATTATTGGATGTGAAGGTACAAGTGTGGGTCATCGTACAGTCATAGAAGGCAACATTTGTAGGATACCTTAGCAATTTGTTGTAAGGGTCTAAGATCGTTTTACTGAAGGCAACACCGAAGGGTCATCGAGGGACTACGATCTTGTAATCGAGGGTCTTTGCTAAAGTATCCCACGTTTGAGGGACATGACTATTTTATTCTAAGAAAACAAGTGTGGGTTAACCCTAGAGGTGCAAGTGCGTAAAGTGTTTGTATTCATGCATTTTTTTCTTGAATTAGGGTTGTTTACTTGTTGGTTTTATGTCTTGCCATACAAACCTTAGTTACTAGCAATAATATGGAAAGTGATAAATTGCGGAAATTTAAAGTCCTACGTTATTACAATACTTTAGGGGATGGGGGTACAAATTACAAATGGGGGTGATTGTAAGTACGAAGTGCGCCTAAGAGGGGGTGAATTAGGCACTTTAATTTTGTTTTGGTTTTTAGTGATGATAAATAATATTTTTCTGGTTTATAGTGTGTTTATGAAAGAGTAAAATGCAGAAAAATAAAGAGACACGAGCGATATATTTTGGTTCCTCTTACAGTCCGAGAGCACTCCAGTCCCCTTTCAACATGAAAGATATTTCCTTATAGTGGTAAACTTAAAACAAGAACTACTAAAACCAAGAACAATCCTCTTGGACCAAGAACAATCCTCTTGAATTTTCACTATGTCAACAATGAGAACAATCCTCTCAAGGTGACCTTACTTGTATCCAACAATCCTGGAAAAACAAGATTACAAAACCACTTGAACTTATTTTCAACAATCATGAAAAATAAGAAAGTGTATAGCAATATTTGATTGATAGAGTTTGTAGTGAAATAATCACTTTGAGTGATTTTATCAATGACTTAATCTTCTCTTCCAATAACAATAATATACAATGACTCAAGACTATATAATGCTCAAAGTTTTCTGTTTAACAATATATGAAAATGTGCAAAAAAACTTTGTGTATGAAAGTGAAGAAAAAGCTTGAGTTTTAACATTTTAAAATTCAGAAACTATTGATTGGAAGAGGTACAAAAAGATTTTGAAAATTCAGTATTTATATGTTCATATCACCTCTTTGAAACAGCATAAATTTCTGCAAATGAATCATGAAAATTGCCAAGATTCAATGAAAAGTTTCCATGAAATAGTGTTATGAAAAGGTATGTTCAAAGCTGCTGATTTTTAAAAACGTTCAGCATGCAATCGATTGCACCCTTGTGTAAATCGATTGCACGGGTTTTAACAGCTAAAAAATTCAAATATTTTCAGTGAGCAATCGATTGCACATGTGTGTAAATTGATTGCACTTTAAAACAGTAGCAAAATTTGATAGAGAGAAATCGATTGCACAAACATGCAAATCGACTGCACTTAGAAATAGTAGCTAACACTTTGAAAACTTGAAGCGTGCAATTGATTGCACCAACATGCAAATCGATTGCACATAAGTGAAAATTTATTTTTTGCTTAGAAAACTTGAGAAAAAGTTTGGACAAGATAAAACACTTCTTTTGATCATTGAGAATTTAAGACTTAAGTTCAAAGTAAGTATTGTCATTATACCTTATGAAATTTTCTAAGAACTTGAGACAAAGTCTTTTATCCAATGATGCTTTTAGCTTGATCGAAATCTTTGCCTTCTTGCCAATATAGTTTGTCTTCATCAAAACAAAGTGCATTAAGAATCATTTGAGAAGCTTGATATTACATTCTCCCCCTTTTTGATGATGACAAACAATCTTTCTTGAAGATTTGTTATTTCCGGAAAGAGACTTCTCCCCCTAAGATGTATAACTCCCCCTTTGTATGAGAAACTTTGAAATCATTTATATTTGCTCATCTTTGAAGGAT